CGGAACTAAATTCGACATGGTCCCCAAACCTTAGACAATATGATAAAAATAGAAAAGTACCAGGAAAAAACATGAGTGAATGCTTTTATAACCACGGGGCAGAAAAAAATCTTTCTAAGCATTAAAAAAAACAAACAAACAACTAATAAATAATTTGAATACATAAAAGTTAAATATTTCAGTGGGGCAAAACAAAACAACAAAACAGCACAAAAAAATATCAGTAAGAAATGATGGAGGGTATAAGAAACAATAGAAGAAGGGCGCCTGGGTGGCTCAGTTGGTTAAGCGACTGCCTTCGGCTCAGGTCATGATCCTGGAGTCCTGGGATCGAGTCCCACATCGGGCTCCCTGCTCAGCAGGGGGTCTGCTTCTTCCTCTGCCCTCTTCCCTCTCATGCTGTCTCTCATTCTCTCTCTCTCAAATAAATAAATAAAATCTTTAAAAAAAAAAAAAGAAACAATAGAAGAAAAAATACAAATGATCAAAATAGAGAAAAAGATGCTAAATCCCATCATGACTTAAAATATGAAACGTAACACACATAAAAATCCTTTTCCATTATCTTAGAGGAAAAACCAGTAGAGACTACTTATGCATAAGCACAGAATACGGAGGGAATCAGATTCCCACATGCTGGAAACACCCTGCATGTTTAGCCGGAGAGGGTTAGGTAGGCAAACAATGGCAGTTCTACCTAACGGAAGGGTATGCAGTGGTAAATACTGTCAGTGAAAGCTATACTGTTAAGAGAAAGTGGCAAGCTGCAGGACCGTGTGTGTGTTTGTGTGTGTGTGTGTGTGCGTGCGTGTGTGTGTGTGTATGGGTAATGATCCTATTTCCATTAAAATGTACAACCATATCCATGGCTTTAGATCTGCCTATTTATATACATATAGAAGAGGCTACATTTCAAGCAGGGGTTTTATCTAGAATGGCCGGAAAGCGTACTTTTTCAGTTTTAGATACATGCTTCTGTATTATTTGAATTTTCGTTGCAATAAGTTTATAATAATCAGGTACTAATTAAGCCACTTAAAAGAATATTTGAGACAGAACACAAAGTGATTGTGTGTTCCTCCGAAGAACCTTCCAGAACCTCCCGCTGCTCGGGCGTAGGAGCCAAACTCCCCAGCATGAAATGCGTGCTGACGTGGTACTGTGGCCCCGCCTAACCCTTCAAACCCTCAGCAAGCGTCTCCTCCGTGTCACAGGCAGGTCCAGCTCAACGACTCCTAGCATCCGCGGTTTTCGGAATGTGCCAGGATGCATCCGGCTTCTTTGCCTCTGCAAAGCCTTCTCCCTCTGCTTACAATCCTTGCCTTCTGCACCTAGTGAACACTCATTCAGCTCCAGCCCCTTCACAGGCAGAAACAACACTCGCTTTCCGGGGTCCCCACTCTGCCTTACCACATACAACTGCTACAACACCCATGACACCAACTGCCCTAAACATGGACATAGTACGAATAACAGTATTAATAATAGCTAATAAAGGGGCGCCTGGGTGGCTCAGTTGGTTAAGCGACTGCCTTCGGCTCAGGTCATGATCCTGGAGTCCCGGGATCGAGTCCCGCATCAGGCTCCCTGCTCGGCAGGGAGTCTGCTTCTCCCTCTGATCCTCCTCACTCTCATGCTCTCTGTCTCTCATTCTCTCTGTCTCAAATAAATAAATAAAATCTTTAAAAAAAAAAAAATAATAATAGCTAATAAAGCACCTACAAGGTGCTGGGCACACGAGTGTCTCACATGCATTATCTCATTTAATCCTCACAATGAGGCTATAGAATGAGTACCATCATCTCTATCTTACAGATAAAGAAACAAGGGCACTCTAAGGTTAATGACCCAAGATCACAAAGGTGACTAGAAATTCAGGGAGTGAAATGCAGAGGTATCTGACCACAGCTGTTTTATTTGTATGTATGTGTACGCCTACAAAATCCCCCCTCCACCAGATGACCGGCTTCCTCTTGAGGAAAGAAATCACGTATCTCCGTATCTTCAGCATCTTGCACAAAGGTACAACAAGGTAGACACCCAACAAATACTGAAGGGAGGCCAGCTCCTAGTATCATCTAGTTCCACCCACTACACAATGCAGGACTCCCTTCCACTTCCCTCAAAGATGATCTGCTTCCACCTGGATGGTTCCAATGACAAGGACCACTTCCTCACGAGGCAGCCCATTTCCCATCCCATTGTTCTCCTGAGAGCTCTCCGTGCTGCTGGACATGCAATCTCCTCGTTCTGCCCTCTCGACTGGACATTAGCAGCACTGTCCCTTTAAACCAGAGGAGCTACAGCTACTTGAACATGGCCACTCTCCCTTCCATCGCCTTCTTTCTCCCTCCTCCCTTCTCTCTCTCAAGCCAAATAATCTCGTTCCCCAAGGGACAGGGTTTCTATATCCCCTCTTCCTAGCAGTTGTCCTACTCTGGACGACTTCAATTTGTCATGTTTCCTCTTCCAAATGAGAAGCACTGGACTCCAAGACTACAAGTACTCAACACGGAGATGGCAGGATTTTTGGCCTGGAACATCTTAGGGGAAGATGCATTAAATAGACAAGCAAACGTTTACCTGTAATTATTTGGAAACTAACCTCTGAGGTGCTCCCTGTGTCAGGCCTGCTGCTGGGTACTTCGAATGCATTATGTGATTTAACTCTTAGAGGATTTATTATTGTTCCTACTCTACAGGTGAGGAAGTTGTCTCCACAAGGCTGAGAAACTGCCCAAAGGCTCCCGTGACTAGTAAATGTCCTAGCAAGGATCTGAACTCAAGTTCTGCTGGACCTCAAAGCCATACTCCAAGTTTTGAGAGGGAGACTCGGGCCAAGAGCAGGCAAGAGAAGGCTTAATGGAGAACTCTTGAAAGGCTCTAACTGGATATAAAAGAGGCAGACCGGTCTCCCATGGAGGCAGGAGGGATGGGTATGGTGGATGGAAGGCCTAGCCTAACTGGCAGGACAGGGTAGGGGACAGGGTTGGGAGAGAAAGTCTATTTACAGGGAAGAGTTTGATCACTCCAGATCACAACTTTCCTCTAAAGCCAGGCAGAGCTGAGGCAGGAGGCAATACGGAAGGAGCAGACTCTTCAGTAGGTAAGGAATATGTGAAAGCAATGTTTTAGGAAAGTTGGTATAGCAGGAGGAGAGAGGCAGAGACAACAGCTGGGAGCTGCTGTAGCGACCAGAGGGCTCCTATGTGTTGGATCTCAGCTAGGACGGCAGCTTCAGAAACGGGGATGAGCAATCTCACGGGTGTTACAAAAGACGCCAGTGCTAACACCTGGATGTTGGACTAGAGATGAAGGGAGACTGAAGAGCAAAGAATTAAGGATGATGCTAAGGTTTCCCGACTGGGGGAAGCAAAGAATGCTGGTATTACCGCCAGGAATGGGACGGTGAGAGAGAAGCAGTCTGCAGAGTGAGAGGCGGATGCGGACATGAACACACGGTCAACGATGGTGCACACAAAGCAAGCATCTCCTGCTGTTGACAGAGGTCAATTCTGCTGCCTTCAGACTGAGAGGACTCATTTTTGGGGTGACATCCTTACGATCGTACCTGTAGTCATTCTTACCATGTCAGCAACATGATACACCACTTGTATAAATGACAAAAGATAACTTTTCATTGAAATGTGGTGATTCCTTGCTCAGCTACCATAACTTTCAAGGATGCCACCTGGAATTAGCCTCACTGTTCTGGAGTTACACTAATAAGTCTTACTATGATTCTTCTATCTGGCAAACTCCCTATGCCTGTTTTCTACCCCCCCCCCCACAACCCCCCAAAAAGATTTTCTTTAAGTGACTTTGGTCACTGAGGAAAGAAGTTACCTGCTTCACCTCCTTTTACCTTGGATTTCAGGCTCAACTATCTTGAAAAACACACACACACACCAATCTTTCCCTGGCCTTCTCTACTCTCCAAAGCCTCTCGTCTCATTGTTCATTTCCCAATTTTGACTCAGTAACATTGCTTTCCACTTCTTTCCTCAAAAAATACCTGGTTTAAGGGGCGCCTGGGTGGCTCAGTCGTTAAGCGTCTGCCTTTGGCTCAGGGCATGATCCCAGGGTCCTGGGATCGAGCCCCACATCGGGCTCCCTGCCCCGCGGGAAGCCTGCTTTTCCCTCTCCCACTCCCCCTGCTTGTGTTCCCTCTCTCGCTGTCTCTCTCTGTCAAATAAATAAATAAAATCTTTAAAAAAAAAAAAAATACCTGGTTTAACTTTATTATTCCCCTGCTGTATTTCTTCTCCCTATTCTTGTCCAAGAAGAAACGGAGAGAAGGGGTCTTCAAGCTGCAGGATGACCCAGAACATACCTTCTGAACACAGTCAGCCCAGAATAAGCTACTTCTAAGTTTAGCTGTGAGATGGCGTGATGACCATAAAACTTTGCCTGACTCACCGGACGGCTGTGACAACCGAATGACATAATTATGGGTTAATACCCCATGCATACAATAAAATTTGGTACAGTTTGCTAGGCTGAGGCTATACAATCTGGTTCCAGACCTTTTTTCCAGAGATGCACTCTAAATCCCCACATGCCTGGGACAATCCCAGAGGCCCTACAAGAAGCAAAACCCAGCGATGCGCTCGGAGAGCCAGTGGCCACAAGCGTGCAGGCCTTTTTGTTTTCAGAACTCAAACAGAACTCATTACCCCACTGCCATCTTTAAAAGATAGTAGGCGTTAAGAACACAAAAGACAAGGATATAAGCAGGATAAGCATTCTACTTTAATTACAAGTAAAAAAGACTAATTTTAGTACAATATATTTACTGCAAAACTATTTACAGTTCTGTGTAAACAGAATTCAGAAAAGTTGATTTTGAATCCCAATTAAATCGAAGAGAGAAAAAAAATACTACTAGAGGATCAGTAGTTTCAAGATATTCCTTTTGGTGCGGTAATAAAATTGGCATTCCGTTTAACTAAAAACAAAGTTTCGAGTAAGAAGCTAACTGCATCAGAAAAACAAAGTACCTGTGAGTTTGATTTTGGACAGCCGCGCCAAAATTCCTGGCAAATCATCCAGCTGCAACTTCATCTCTTTCCAGCGCTTTTCATCCTTCGCCTCTTTCCCTGCATCTAGCGAGCCTTCAATTATGGATGCCGATTCCAGTTCGAGCAATTCTTTTTCATTTGGCTTTCTGGATAACGGTAGGCTGGGGGGTGGAAGAGGTCTCATTTCACAGATTTCTGCTTTGGCTTGACCCAAAGATGTTTTCTCAAGGAAAGGAGATGCCACAGGTTCTGGCTTCCGTTTTACTTGCTGGTTGAGGCTTCTGTTCAGTTGTGTGACATACTAAACAAGGAAAGTACAGTTACTATACACCCAAGGCCCAAAGTGCTCTTACATCGCTGTTGGGTAACTCCTCCCATCAGCCTGTTACAGTATTTGAAGGATTTTCCTATACCTTTGTAAATACATGCTGAATTAATGAATATTCAAGTGTTTGTTACATGGAAATCACTACATTAAGAGGTACAGAGAACATAACTGACACCTTGGTGATGGTTTTTAATTCTATGGTTTAGAAAATCCTGGACATTTAAGTTCCTTGAATGAAAAATAAATTTCTTATTCCCTCCAGCATGATCTCCAACATGATCCCCACCAAATACAGTGAAAAAATGTTCTAACATCAAGAGCCCAAGACAACCTGTTGACTTTCCACGTTTCTAGGCAAACAGGGCAGAGAGGGGCTTGGCAGTAGGGTATAATTCAGGGCTCAGTTACGTTAGAGCACTGTGTGTGTGGAAAGAATGCGAGCTTTACAGTCCGACAGTCTCTATCGCTTACTAGCAAGCAGCAGTTAACTATTACTAACGTAGTGAGGCACTGTGTAGTTTTACATAATATAGACCTTCATAGTTTATAAAGTATATATCTTATTTGTGCTTTTTAAAAGCTATTTAAGAAGCCGGATCATTATCAGTATCTCTTTCTTTAACTTACAGAAGAGAAAACTAAGGCTCAGAAATAAAGTGACAGAGTCAACAACCAGTTAGTTGTAACTGACAAGAGTCAACAATCAGTTAGTTATAAGTGGCCCTGGTCCTCCGAACCATGTGCTCTGGTAACCAGTTAAGTGATTTTTCTGTTATATCACAAAAACTTGAAATTACATACACTAGTTCTAGAAAGGAATTATGAACTCATGAATGAACCCAGAATTCTGTGCACATAGGCATTATACATACTTGAGTTTCTCTTCTAAATACCCATTACCCTTGATCCCCAAGGTAAGAAATCTGAACATTTCTGGAAATGTAAATCCCTTATCAAAATAATGAGTTTCATTAAGATTTTAAGTTAATTTTACATTTTAAGTTAAAGTGGGCATTCTAAGTTAAAAAAAGAGAAGTGTCAAATCAGATTTGAGATTATGAACTTGCTAATTGTTCACGCTTGCATAATTATGAGTTTTTAACTATCTCCATTCTATACTTTTCTATTTAAGGGCAAATGTCCTCACTGGTAATTAGGAATAAGCTACCATGTTGCCCACAATATCATGGAGCCAACCTAGAGGACCAGGATGTAGGAGTAATGCCCACTATAAAATGCCTAGCAAATTCTAAAAACTCAGTTTGCTACAAAAACTACTCAGAGGTGCATGCATTTAAAAGACTTTTAGATGCACTGCTGATGTAGGAAAATGGGAAGGTCACACTGTTAAAGAAATTATTTCTGTATCATTGATATATTCACAGAACTTCAAAGAATTTAAAGAGATGTATGATAACAGCTCAGCTTTTCCTAATTTTCTCCTAGGTAAAATATGCCAGAAGTTTTCAATCTTTCTCCAAACTTAATCAGTAAGTTCAAGATCATACTTTTAACATCCAATGCCAGGACTATTCTGGTTTTAGTTAAGAATAATCAAAACAAGGAATTAAAGTTTTGGATACATGCCAAAAGGACACTAAATAAAAGTCGTTTTCAAGTGGTACTTCTTACAACTCTTCTTTTAATAGGAATTTCTCAAATTCCCTCATACAAAGAAAGTAAAGGCAGACAGCAGCAGAGTGAGGATGGTCTTCTGAACATACCATGCGCCTGAGGAAGGACAAGTGCTGAAATGTAATCCACTGCTTATTGACATTCCTGAAAAGATGCACAAATGTGTGAGGGGATTCCTGCATAGCTCTTCTTTCTAGATACCAGACACATCCTCCTACCCAACCTGTATAGAGAAAAGGGAAAGGTTCACGTGATTAGTGCTTCTCACCAAATGCTGACTGCGTCTACCCAGAAGCAAAGCCGGCCACCACCATAAGCAACAGCACATGTGAGGGGTCAGAACTCTGACCGGATTTGTGAATCACTGCCACATATCCCCTTGATTCACTAAGCGTAAATTCTTCAGCAGGGATAGGGCAATTTTGCATTTCGGGATCATTATACTTTTATTATATGAAGTGCTGAAATGACCACAATGTAGATCGTTTTGAGAAAAATAATAAAATAATCAGTTCAGGGGCGCCTGGGTGGCTCAGTTGGTTAAGCGACTGCCTTCGGCTCACGTCGTGATCCTGGAGTCCCGGGATCGAGTCCCGCATCGGGCTCCCTGCTGAGCAAGGAGCCTGCTTCTCCCTCTGA